TTTTTTTTGTTTTAGTATTTTGAAGTTGACCAATTGTTACTATAAGCAATTAATGATTATAGATGATCTGCACCGTAACTTCTTTCAAGCCACTCATCACCAGAAAATCCAGACTTTTCCAAAGCCTGTTAGCTTCCTTCTGAAAAGAAAACGTGAAATCGTCTTGTTTTTGACGATGCTTATAAAAGCCCAGGAAAGGTATTGTTCAGGTGGCGTTTCGTCAAAGTAGACACCCCACATTGCGCATATTTCTGTTTGTTTTGAAATAAAAAAATTGAGCTTCTTTTATAAAAAAAAGTGACACAGTGAAACTCGATTTAGCAGTCACAGGACATGTCACGCAGATCAATAGGGAATAACCTCAAATTGAATTTCTTCCATAAATTTTTAAATATAATATGGCGGACAGAAGAGGACGGCCACCTAAAAGCACCAAAGGAATTTTTCAAAAAGATTGTAAGTTAGAAAATAATAATTACTCTTTTTTATTCAAACTATATTGAAATGTTTTTTTTTTCCTAAAAAAAAGTACGCTTACTCATGTATGGTTTTGGAGATGAACCTGATCCAGCTCCTGATACAATAGCAGTAATGGAAGAACTTGTTGTTGATTATATTACTGAAATGGTAAATTACTAATATTATTATTAATTTGAAGAATTACGAATAACAGCTAGTAGTATTAGTAATGGTAATAGTTGTAGCAGAATTTTTTTTGATTTATTTTTTATTAGATATTAAATAAAAGTTTTTTTTAGTGCTGTAAAGCACAAAAAGTGGCTAAAGATCGTAAAGTAAATGTTGAAGATTTCAAATTTATTTTAAGGAATGATCCCAAAAAATTATCTAGGGTTGAGGAATTATTATATATGGAACAAGATATTAAGAGAGCAAGACAATCTTTTGATGTAAAGGAAATCGATGAAAATGCTATAAAGAAAAACGATGGAAATGAAATGAATGAATAAATAAATGGATGAATATAGTTTTGGATAAACATTGCTTTATTATTATTATTATTAGTTTGAAAATAAGAAAAAATAAAATTGTCATTAGTGTACCGTTACTGTTTAAAGTTTTAAAAATATTATCTTGCCTATGTTTATAATTTCGGGAGTTTTGAGATTTTATCAAAAATCATATATATATATTTTTTTATTTATATATATAACAAAATTATTTTTAAATTAATTAGTAAAGATATTATGTTACATTGATATTGATGAATGATATGATGTTGATGATGTTGATGATGATATTATTCTTTTAAAAATGTTCCATGAAAATGATAGTATGATTATGACGATAATGATTATTATCCAAATGACACAATAATGTTTCTTTTTCATCTAATGATTATTATTATTATTTATTATTATTATTTACTATTATTATTATTAATTAAAATTAAACAACATAAGGGTGAATGTCGTTATTAATACGTTGGTGTTGGCAATTCGTTTAGTTGATTGATTTTTGAGAGCTCTTGATTTAGAGAATTAAAAGATGAAATTCGATATTTAGTATACTGTTTATTGTAAATATTATTGATTTACTGACTATCTCATTGCCAGAAAATAAGTTTAAACTGAATTCGGGAGCTCTTTTGTGATCATTATTTGTGATATGGGTCGATCTGTCAACAAATCATTTATATTTTTGTCTTTAGAATCATCAATGTATACTACAGCTATAACATCAGGTTCTTGGCTTTTATGAATATCTTTTGTTGGATTGTTTATTATTATATCTTTATCAGAAATATAACTCGCGTTTGTTGAACTATCATTGTGGATACTATCACTATTATTGTTGGTTATTTGGTCAAGATTTTCATTATCGGCTTCATTATTAATTTGATTATTATTATTATCAATAAAGCTTTTTATATCGTCGCAACTTTTCCTGTCCATCTTTGTATAGTCGTATACAAGGAATTTTTCTTCCATTGTTCTCATTTCCTTGGAAAGTCCACTAAGATCCTGATTAGCTCGTTTTTTGACTTTTAATGGATTATCTTCCAGTAATAATTCCTCGAGTTCATATGTCGCATCAAAATTTGCTCGCTTAGGCTTATATGGCAAAATAAAAATGATATTAATATTTCATGTTTGATTGATCAATGAATTAACGAATGAAATAATGATAATACTTACATCTGGTACAAATGGCGGTGTTGCTCGTTTTGTGTCAAGCTTATCCCATTCTATATCTTTGAACCAAGGTTGCTGCTTGATTTCTTCTATTCCATTACACCCTAAACGTTTTGATATATCACGTTCACAAAACTATTAAATAAAATAAATTATTAATTATGTAAAATAATAATATCATTAATTTATGTAAATTGTATAATTATTAAAATTTAATTTGACATATAATAAATTTATAATAATATTAATTATCGTTATAATATATAATACAAACTCTTTTTATAGCATCTAAACATTCTTCAGATACCGTCATATTAGGATTATCAGGAAAATGAAGAGGTTCATGAAGAATTGCTTTAGTTAGCAGTGAATTATTTTTTCCACGAAATGGTCGCTAAAAATATCGATTTATGTTTTAATTAGTAATTTAATTTAATTATGGTTTTTAAATAAAATTTATATTAAGAAAAATTATATTTAAAAGAAAAAAAGATTGAAAATTACCCTGCCGAATAAAAGTTCAAAAATTACAATTCCAAGTGACCACCAATCAACTGAATAAAGATATCCTTTTTTTTTTAACATTTCAGGAGCTATAAACAAATATATATGTGTGTGTGTTAATAATACTACAATTAAATAATTATTTTAGAAATATATATGAAAAATTTGTCACCCATATATGCCATAGAACCAGCTACGGAAGTAAAAGGTTTTTGTTCCTTATAATGAGCTGCTATATTAAAATCAGTTAAATGTGCATGTCCTTGTTCATCTAATAAAACATTATCTGGTTTTATATCCCTAAAAATAATATAATAACATATATGTTAACCATAGTTAATTTAAAGCAATCCATGTTGCGTACGTGTATAGATATATTTACCTGTGAACAATATTTTTTGAATGCAAATAATCTAGTCCTAAGCTAATTTCAGCCGCATAAAATTTCACTACATCTTCTTTCATTCTTCCTTGTCTCTCTAAATGAAATCTTAAATCACCACCTAACATCAAATCTAGAACCATAAACATATTTTCATCATCTTGAAATGCGTAACGTAAATTACATATTAAGGGATATTCGATCTCTTCCAATAGACGACGTTCTTGTATTATGTTCCCTATCGCACGCATTTTTATACATTTTTCTTTATTAATATACTTTAATGCATATACAGTTTTTGATCTTTTGTGTTGTACAACTCGAACCTTCAAAAAATAAAAAAATCCCCATTTTTTTTTTTTTTTTTTATTTTATGATTTTAACAAAAATTTGAAAATATTGGCAAGAAAACTTGTAATTTTCGTACCTTGCCAAAAGCACCTTTTCCTACAGATTTCAATAAGTGAAAATGAGATAATTCAACTTGTAGATAAATAGATAGATATTATGTTGACGATTAATAAATGAAATATTAAATATTAAACTGTTAATTTGTTCATTATAATTTAAAAATTTACCTTCACCATCAAAATCAATTGCATCTTCTTTGCAACAACATATACCCATCTGAATTTTTATATTAAAAATACAAATAAACAAACAATATGTATTATGTTACAATAAAATAAAAATAATAGATATTATATTACAAACGAAAATTTTTTCTAATAAAAATTTTTTATTAAATTAAATTAAATCAACTCGTATGAAAGTACTGTTTAAAAATTAAATTATTATATAACAAAATAATAATAATGAATATGATTGTAAAGACTTTTACGCGTCAAAAAAATTTGTTAGAAAGAAAGTTGCGATCAAAAAATAAATTATGTAGAGATATCAGATATAACAAATTATGTAAAGATCGTGAAAACCAAAAAGAGTTTCAAGAATAAATAAATAACAATATTTATTAATGAAAATCAGAGTATATATATATATATAAATAAATACAAACAACCTATAAATATTAAATAATAATAAAACTGTCGTTTACGTTGCTCCAACTTTCGAAGAAATTAACATATTGTTATACAAAAAAATATAAAAGTCATCAATCATTTAAAATGTTTCACGATGTGGATTAAAATTTTTTAAAAACATAAACGTATTTATTAAATTAAATGCATGATGAAATTCCAAATAATCATGTGCCATATTTTGAAACATAGAAAGCAGGCGGTAATTGTTCTAGAATATCAACCAGTGTTTTTTCCACAATTACTAAAGAATCAGGTAAAATAAAATCAAGATACACGATTGTTTGTATCTAGTCACTAATTGTATGTTGGCTATTTTTGTATTATTTTTAGTAATAGTATAATTATCGTCATCATCACCCATTGTCATTATCATTTTGATTAATTCGATGTGGTTTATTTGTACCGTGACCATAAAACAAATTCAACTTAGATTTGACCTTTTTACTGAAATCAATAAAACAAAAATATCTGCTTGTCCATAAAATCATGATTTTATTATTAGTAGGATTGAAAGTGCAACCGATTATCTTATCCTGAAGGCGAAGAAACTTGTCAGGTAAACAGTTCGAGTATTGTCGTGACCAATTTGTTAATTCGTGGTCAATTATATTCCAAAGATAAAATATGTTGTTTGTTAATGTGATAACCAGGATTGATTCAAATGGATCAAATGTTAAAGATGTATGTTTTGATGAAAATATTGGAAGTGTTGAATGATACTAAAAATAATGCAATTATGTAATATTTTAGTTTGAATAATTTGGTTGGCTCGAGTAATAATGAAAATTAGATATAAAGAAAATTTACTTTTAGTTTTTCCAAATTAAAAATTCGTATTCTATTCAACTCATCGCCACATGCCAACCATAAACTATCATTACTAATAGCAATTGAAGTTATCGAACCTTTTTCTTGCTCGTTTTGAATTTGCTTAAATTGTGTTAAGATTTCTATTTTGTTATTACGTCTTGAAATATCTAATCCAAAAATAATTATCCGGCAGTCATTCAATACCACTATCAATTTTCTATTATCAGGAGTAAATAAAAGGTGATGAGCTCCAATATATTCTTGATCAATTTTTGGAAAATTTATTTTACGAACAACCAGTCCTCCTGAATCATTCATCTAAATAGTATACATATACATACACATACACATACACATATAAATAAGCATGTATATTAATTATGATTTATCATGAGAACATACGTTATCATCAACAACTCTAAATAACTTCACACGTGTTATATCAGAAACTGCAATCCATTCGCCATCTTGAGAAATTGCACTTGCACAAAGATTACTATCACACTAAAAAAATGACAAATGAAAAAAATTTAGATCAATTAAAAGATTTCTATAACTGACTCAAACCAAAGATATATATATTAGCTTGGTAATAGATTACTTTAAGAGTCATTTCTAAAACGGCTTGTTGGGGTTCTTGTATATATAACTTTGGTATTTTTTCATAAGAAGAATTTTCCTGACTAGTTGCTATCATTATAATCATTATCAATATCATTAGTATGCTATACAATAACATATTTCCAAATAACTATAGTAGTGATGATAATAATACTAACCTTTTCCCAATCTCCATAACTTTATACTATTGTCAGAACGAAACATCAACAACTGTTTTGACTTTGATAAACATATTAAAGGTTTTTGGGGAGTGAATGGTAAATGGCGAAATTTATTATGAGGAAAATCGGCTCTTGGAGATACTGATAATGTCGTATCTACACCTACAATAATAACAGCGACAATGTATTTAATTATTTTCTAAAAAAAAAATTTGAAAATGAAAATAATTGATAGTTACCCCCAGATACCAAGACTTGAAAATCTTGATCTTCAAAATAAGCAAGTGCTCCAACATTATGAGAATGTTGACGACGATATCCAACAGAAACCCATTGTTCAGTTAGATTCTTAATGTGATTAATATTTGTTGAATCATCCAAACTCATAATCGAATCAAGATCTGCATCATCAGAAGTTGACTCCAATGATAGATCAACATAACGAAATAAACAACATTTACGATCTACGCCGCTTGAAAAAACCTCTGTCCCTGACTATAATCATTAAAAATCAGAAATCAAGCTTTTTCTTGAAAAAGAAAATAATGTAATGTAATCCTGATAATAATTACACGATTTGTTTCAAGACAGAGTACATCAGCTTCGTGAATTTTAAATGTTTGTAACATTGTACCCATCTTTCCATCCCAAAATTGCACATTTCCAAGTGAATCACCACTAACGATTATCTCATCTCTAATTTATTTTTATTTGTCATTCATTTACATATTAATAAAAATCAAAATGATTAAATGATTAAACATAAAAAATGAAATTAATGTACTTGAGTATTTTGACTGCCCAAATAATTGTCTCGGATCCTTTTGAAGTTTCTGCAGTCATCCTTTGATCACATCTACCTAAAGAAGAAATAATAATAATCTGATTGATTAAAAATTTGTGATATGGTTCAACCTTACTTTTTAGAAGGTGTCATTATTACCTTTATCAACATCCCATTTAGATATTATACCATCTGATGATCCGCTTACAAGATATTTATCATCATAACCCCAATCTAGTGAAATAACTTTAGCATTTATTCTGGTAAAAACCTTAATCAATCTTAAGTCTTCTTCCTCATCATCATCAGATATACCAAAAATCCTTATGCTGCCATCTTCACATCCTATCGCCAACATTGTATTTGCATAATTTGGTTTCATACACCATACAGCACCTCCTAATGAATCTGCTGATTTCTGATTTGGAAATGGATAAGAAAATGAATGAACTTGTGGAAGGAAAGAATATAACCAATGCGTGTAATAACAGTAGCAGTAACAATAATATAACAACAATAAACCTTCATTTTCAACTTTATTAAATCCCATTCTATTATTAATCCATTTAAACTTCCGGAAAAAAGTCTAGGTGATTGATTAGAAGAGGATGTTTTGGTTGATGGTGACGATGATTTACGATTTATCCAAACAAGAGTTTCTACAGTGGTATTAACCATACCTGGGATCGTCTAAATATGTAAAATTAAACAAATAAGTCCTAAATATAATCTTGAGGAAAATTGTCAAATTAATAGTGTACTTTTTGTAAATTCCAACGTTCTTTCGGCTCCCATATTTCAATATCGCCATTAGCTCGGCCACAAGCAAGAAGCAACTTTGGTAAAGAAGGCGAAGTAAAAGCCAGGGAATTGATGGTTGCGGGCACGTAATCAACGAATCGACATCTGTGAATGAACATTTTTGCAAATTTTTTTTTATCAAGATTTTAAAAAATAACGATGATCGTTTGTACGTTCCAATTTATCACATGACTTTCAATATTAATTAATTAGCACAGTAAAAATAAAATGTTACACATGACAAAGTGAATTTTATTATATCGATTGATTTTATTAGCTTGCAAAGGAAAGTATTAAGATATTATCTGGCTTATTGTATGTAGAGTTGCCTTCCGAAACTCATGAATTTAGAACTATTCGAAATTAAAACCATTCTAAACTGGTTTAAAAAATGTGTCCGAATTTTTAAAAATAATAATTTTGCATATTTGGTGGAGGTGAAATTTCAGGAATTGCATCAAAATCAAATACTTCTTCAGTACCTTCTTCCATACTCTCATCTTCTACCTCAATATTATCATTTATGTAATTCAAATACTCAAATTCATAACGAATGAAAACAAATATTGTGTGCCCGAAAATTTCGTGTACCATAACACACACAGATTGAAGGTGGTCGAGGTATTACTCGGGATCTGCATATCTAATTTTTTAATTTACCATCATTAATATTAATAGGCGGCGGTCCACAATTAATCCCAAAATGCCTTATTCAAGTCTCTTCCGTTCAGAAGAGATGTCGCTCATTCAACTCTACATTCCATCAGAAACTGTCCAACCAACAATGGCGGAATTAGGAGAACTTGGCCTAATACAATTTCGAGATGTAATGAATGACTTTAAATTGTATAATTTATATGTACTATATTATAATTTATTAACACTTTGACAATTACCATAGTTGAATCCTGATGTAAACGCTTTTCAAAGAGCTTTTGTAAGTGAAGTTAGACGTTTTGATGAAATAGAAAGACGACTTCGTAAGTTTATTATCATTATGATAGAAAATAAAACTGATGATTATTTGTTTTATTAAACCTTATATCAAATTCCATTTAATTCATCTATCACGTGGATGATAATAGGATATTTTAGTGTACAAATTGCAAAAACGGATATTCCTATTTATCCTTTGACTGGAGCACGCGCAAGGAGTGTTCAAGAACTTAACGAGCTTGAAGAGACAATTAACCAACATGAGCAACGTATCATACAAATGAATAACTCATATGAAACTTTACAAAAAAGGTACCTAGAATTGACTGAGGCTAGACATGTATTACAAGAAACGGCTATATTTTTTGAAGAAGTGAGTTGTTTAATTATTTTAATTATTCAGTTAAGAAAGAAATAATTGATATATTAATTAATTGTATTATTTAGGCAGAAAATCGTCAAGACATACGACAATCCTTAGATGAGCCTACAGCACCATTGTTAGACCATACTGATGTTGAACAGGGAGAATCTTTGGTTTTTCGTCACGCCAACTTTAGGTTAGTTAATTATTTATATTTTTTGTTTTTTGAAAATTCATTTGGATCCAAAGTTTGTTCAAAAATTTATATATTTATCTGATGCTAGGTTTGTAACGGGTGTTATATTAAGAACAAAAATGCAAATATTTGAACGAATCCTTTGGCGTGCATTACGTGGCAACTTTTATATCAATCATGCAGAAATTGATGAACTAATTACTGATCCAGAAACAGACGAAGTTTTAGAAAAAAACGTTTTTATAATTTTCTCCCATGGACAAGAAATATTAAATAAAATTAAAAAAATTTCTGAATCACTGGGAGCTACACTTTATCCTGTAGATGATAATCCTGATCAAAGACATCAAACCCTAATGGAAATTACTACAAGCATTAATGACCTGAATTCTGTTCTACAAAGTACAAATCAGGCTCGTAGAACTGAATTATTAAAAGTTGCAGAGAATTTATCAATTTGGTTTACCATTATTAAGAAAGAAAAGGCAATTTATCATGCAATGAATTTGTTTAATTATGATAGTACTAGAAAATGTTTGATTGCTGAAGGATGGTGCCCAACTAATGATATTGGCCAAATTCATAATGCCTTGAGAGTTGCAACTGTAAGTAATGATAATAATAATAATAATAATAATAATAATAATAACCAATAAAATTGGATTTAAAATTTTTTAGGAACAATCACGTTCTATGGTACCTTCAATCCTCAATGAACTTCGTACAACTAAAGAACCACCCACCTTCCATCGTGTTAATAAGTTTACTGGAGGATTTCAAGAAATTGTCGATGCCTATGGTATTGCAAAATATCGTGAAGTCAACCCTGGATTATTTACCATAATCACCTTTCCATTTTTATTTGCTGTAATGTTTGGTGATTTGGGACATGGAGTATTTGTTACACTGGCAGCTTTATATTTGATTGTATTTGAAAAACGACTGGAAAGAAATGGAAAAGGAGAGGTAGTGTCATGATAATAACGTCTTTTTTTATTCGTATGTGTATATATAACAATATTTATTAAACTATTCCAGATTTTTGAAATGTTTTTTGGGGGTCGTTATATCATTCTTTTAATGGGCTTGTTTTCAATGTATACTGGATTAATGTACAATGATATATTTTCATTATCATTAAAATTGGCAAAACCTGGATTTGAATGGATCAAAAATGACACTGATGGAACCTACAAAGTGATCCAAACTGGCGTTTATCCATTTGGAATTGATCCAAGTTGGCATGGTGCAGAGAATTATTTGTTATTTACTAATTCATATAAAATGAAAATGTCAATAATTTTAGGTGTAATTCATATGAGTTTTGGTATAATTCTTACCATATACAACTATACATATTTTAAAAAAACCTTGAGTATTTGGACAGAATTTTTGCCACAAATGTTATTTATGCAATCAATTTTTGGATACCTTATGCTTACTATTATATACAAATGGACAATTAACTGGTGGGAAACTGACGAATCAGGTCAAACCATTAGAAATAGCCCACCTGGTTTATTGAATACGCTGATATATATGTTTTTACAACCTGGTAAAGTCGCAGCTAAAGATCAATTATATCCTGGTCAAGTAAGTGATGATTATTTTCATTTTCGTTTTCGTTTTCATTGCTTCATGTTGATTATCTCATTTATTTGATATTTTTTCATATTTAATGATATAGGATAAAGTTCAATTTATCCTATTAATAATAGCATTAATTTGCGTGCCTTGGATGTTATTAACAAAACCTCTTATAATGAGACATGATCATAAAAAAATTAGAGCACAAGGTTATCATAATCCACAAACGGATGCAACACGTATATCAACTGATGAAAATAATGAGCATGGTGGTGCTGTGGTAACAGAGGAGATTCATGAAGAGGAAGAATTTGATTTTGGTGAAATCATGATTCATCAAGTTATACATACTATAGAGTTTTGCCTTGGTTGCATTTCTAATACTGCAAGCTATCTACGATTATGGGCTTTAAGTTTAGCACATGCTCGTAAGTTATAATGTTTATTTTTTAATGTTAATATCAATGAAAACCTTAATCACTAATGATCAATGAATTTTTTTTTTTAAATCAAAAACTCCAAAATAAATAAAATAAAAAAAGAATTGTCATCTGTATTATGGGACATGACATTAAAAACTGCTTTAAATTACCAAGGTGTCTTGGGAGTAATTTTAATTGCTGTTGCATCAATTTTTTGGTTTATTTTAACGATTGGTATATTAATACTTATGGAAGGATTATCTGCATTTTTACATGCTTTACGTTTACATTGGTATGTTTTGTTCTATGATATTAAATGCTGATCAATTATTTTAAAAAGTGTGTTGAATGATAATAATGAAATAAATTTTTTTGCATTGAATTTAGGGTTGAATTTAATAACAAGTTTTATGAAGGTACTGGTAGAAAATTTGAACCATTTGGATTTAAGAGAATTTTGAAAGAGCAAGATTAATTAAAACAATAAAGAAACTAACATAAAATCGTGAAATATGATTTTGTAGTTTTGTATAGTATTGGTATTAGTATATTAGTACAGTATTTATTATATTTATAATATGTTGGCATATATATATTTTCGTTTTTTAAAAATTTTCATAGTTTCGATAATTAGCTTCATATCAATAATCAAAATAAAAGTCAACAAATTTTACAATTATAATATTATTATCACAAATATTCCTTCTTTTATAACCTATAAATTTGATAAAATGAAAAAAATCAAAACATGTTCGAATAGTTTGAAAACACACATACGAAGAAATACTTTTACATAGAACATGAATTGTGTTAACTTGATGATTTTTCGGTTTTTGACTTTGAAGTTAATGCGAATAACTGATAATAATAAATACACAAAAATAATAATAAAAACGCGCTTGAGAGTCTGGTACATACGTATTACATGGTATATAAGACAGGTTTAGATGCAAGTTTTTAATTTCAAAGTTTTAAAAATAAAACAAAGAACAAAATAATGCCAAAACTCTTTTTATTGTTGAATCAATGATGAATTTATATTGTTACACCCGACTGTTATATATAACACGCCCATCACTATTCAACATAGAGGGCTTTCTCTGTGATTGGCTGACGCATAATTGAATTTATTATTACGCCAATCATTATTAATATTAATAATAAATTTTTTAACGTTATCTATACAAGAGCAATAACGATCTTTTTTCAAGACAATCAAATGACTCCATTGACAATATTTTTATATGCACAAATAAGCAAACACTGGATTGTAAACTTCTATTGCCATCATAATAACAAAAATGTGTGTAATAAATGCGCCTATAGTTGAAGCAACACAAATATAATAATAATATCTCTATATCATTTGAGAAATAAAATATATCCCACGTTGAATTGAATATTTTTATTCGTAAAAAAAAAATATATTTATAAAATGTTGATAGCTTGCATTGAACTTTGCGCCTTGTCATTACTCAATGTATCATCTAATTATAATACTCGTCATGTGACATAAAATTACACTATTAATCCTTTTTGCATAATGAAAAATTTCAAATATTACATCATTAATAAGATACTTATCATTCAAACACACTTGCTATTGTGACGCATTAACTATGATGAAACATAATAATAATATTCACACCTTTCTTCACTCTAGTAGATCCAAGAATGTTATGATCGTTTCTTTATATTGCACATTTATTCAACGCACTTGTATTAATATGATGAGACATAATAATAATATCCCCATCATTCTTTGGTCAAGTAGATCCAGACATGTTTCTTTATTATAGAGCTATAAATATTTTTTCAAAGTTTAAGAGTTATTGTTTATAAACGTACTAAATTTTTTTTTTATGATTGAGTTGTTATAACAAAAAAGAATTCAATATTTATTTATTTTGAATGTTTGGAAAATACTTCTCCCATCTAACTTCCGCATTACTTCACCTTTTACCGAATTACTTTGACCGTATATAAAATAGAAAGTGGATTAGAATATAGTCAAATGACGGGTCAGTTTGTATATGTTTAATATGTGGTGTAACTAATGCTGATCGTTTCTTAAAATCGAATGTCCTCTATGTTTCACTATTCTTAAGTAGATCATTAACAAATTAGGTAACAGGTTAATTATTATTTTAACATTTACAACATTTACACATTTAACAATGGAAAATAGCAATTTACAAAACTTGGCTTCTGTAGATCACAGAATTAAATATCTACTAGAAGCTCTAAAAAAAGAACCCAATGGGTTACAAAAACATGAAGAAAGTGAATTGTTTTTATTATTATCACAAGTACGAGGAATTGGATCCAAGTGGTCAAATCCTGATAAGATCGGTCAAGCAGAACTCTATGAAGCCATTAATAGCGTCTTTAATTCACTTAAAAATTATACAGAACACAGTGGACCTTTCCTTAAGAAAGTGAATGCAAAAGAAGTCCCTGACTATTATCAAATCATCACCAATCCTATGGATCTCAGTATAATATCGAAAAGAATAAAAAATACACATTATAATTCAAAGAAGGAATTCTCTGATGATCTCTATCTCATCTATTCAAATTGTCTTTTGTACAATACAAATCCTGATAATGAGTATCGAAAACATGCGATAGCAATGAGAGAAAAAACAGATGCATTACTACAATCAGTTCCAGACATTACAATCTTAAGTCGTGAGGAGTTCATTTCACAGTTAAAAAAAGAAACAGAACAAAAATCCAAATCTGTTAACGGAATTGGTAGCAGCAGTAGCAGCAGTAGCAGTGGTAGTGGTATTGGTATTGGAATTAGTGTTGGTAGTAGTAACAATAGTGTTGTGAACAACAATGTTGAGAGAAATGTGATCAATAGTAATGGTATTAGTAGCAGTAATAATGCTATGAGCAAAAGTGTTGAGCATAATAATAAAGTCAATATTAATGGTCTTGGTAGTCATAGTGTTGATAGCAATGGTATTAATAATAATAATGGTATTGTCATTAATAAGGAAATTAATAATAATAAAGATGATAATATAATAATAATTTGTAATGACAATAATAATATCAATGATAATAATATTAATGAAAATAATGGCACCATTGGTGTTGTTCATAATAATAATAATAATAATAATGCTAAAAAAAATGCACATCAAGAAGGTGCTCAGGCTATTGAACTTTATGATGATAACTCTGATTCAGACTCAGGCTGTGAAGTAGATGAATGGGATATAAGGTTAAGACAAGAGTTCAAAGTACCTTTTCTATCTCCATTACCTTTATTATGGGATCCTGAAATCAATAATCCAAATAGGAACAAGCTTTCAGATCCAGATTATGATCCAACTGAAAATGCACCAACAATTGATGAATATCCTGAAGCACAAATTCCAAAAACTGGAACTGCACCTATAATCGATCAGAATATTGAATTATTGAAACAATGTCGTGCACTTCATGCCAAATTAGCAGCACTCAAAAATAATCTTCCGGAAAATCATTTTGCTTTCAACGATCCTGCTTTTTCTGCTGCTACTGCTGCTGCTACTGCTACTTCTTCTACCTCTACTGTCACTGTTGCGTCCACTTCTATTTCCATTCCTGGCGTTTCTCCTGCCGTTACAAGAAATGGTAATGACATTATTTCTAATAATAATAATAATAGCAGCAGCAGCAGCAGTAGTTGTAGTAATATCAACAATAATAATAATAATAATACTAATAATGATAATAATAATAATAATAATAATAATAATAAGCCAAAAAGAGACCCAAAGGATTTACCACCATTAGAAATGAATTATGAAACGAGTTCGGCTGTGATGAAGTGCTGTGTAGCAAAGTTATTACAACATTCTGGTTTTGAATCATCAATGAACACACCACTTCACATTTTAACAGAAATTGCTGGTGATTATTTAATGAACATTGGTAGAACATTTAGGAAATATCTTGATGACTATGATAAAAAAATGAAACCAGAAGAGATAGTTGAGCATGTTCTTTATGAAAATGGAATAGGGTCATTAAATGATATTGAGTCTTACCTTCGAGATGATATATGTAGATATGGTACAAAGCTAAAGGATTTAAGAAGAAGATTGGATACTGCTTTTAATGAACAAATTATAAATCCAGATGGTAGTGGTGGCGGTGCCAACAATTCAGAAAAGATCATCGATGAAACACTATTGGAAAATGAAGATGTATTTGTAACTGGTAATATTGTTGAAGAGGTGGATGAAGATTTCTTTAGATTTAAGGAACTCGGATTGGGACCATTATCGGTTCCAATGAAATTATTTCATGGAACTAATAAAACCAAATACCCAGTTAAGAAAGTTGATAATTCACTAGAAAACAAATATTCACCACCGCCACCATGGAAACCGATTACAGATTCAAGTAGTCGAATTGGGTTATTACAAGAATTCTTCCAACTCAAAACTGAACAACACAATGGACAATTAATTGAGGATGAACAGTTGCCACCAAAACAAAAATTCCAAAGGCCCAAAGTTCCGCCAACTGGTAAGATACCACCTCAACCACGTCGACAACCACAAAAATCAGTTGCTGAATTGGCTGCAGCATTAGCAGAGAAAAAAAGAAAAAGAGAGAAAGAGTTGGAGTTGTTAGAACAAAAAGAACGACAGAAAAAACTAAAACTTCAAGAGAAAGCAAAGAAGCAAGCAGAAAAGGAGGAACAAAAGAAACAAAAACAATTGGAAAGGGAACAGGCCAAAAAGGCAGAGTTGGAGAGAAAGGCTGAGCTTGAAGTACAAAAAAGGGAGAAGAGACAAGCTGAACAAAAAAAGAAAAAACTGCGAATTGATGAAGTGGTGGTAGCTTCTTCATCAACATCATCAACATCATCATCTACTACAGGTGTTGCTACTAATTCTACCAATACTCATAAAAGGAAAAAAGCTAAAATTGATGAAATAACAGTGGCATCATCATCGTCAGCCATCACTACCAATAATACTTTCTTAAATAATAATAGCACTTCTCCAGGTGACGACAATGAAAGTGATTTGGAAATAATACCACTTTTTCAAAGGAAAAGAGAAAGAAGAAGAATGTAAATTTCTAACATTTCTTAAAAAAAAAAAAAGCTGTTTAATATATATATTTAATTACAAAAAAAAAAATAATGAATATATTACAAAAAAAATTTTTCTTCAAAATCAAACTAATTATTATTATTATTATTATTATTATTATTATTATTATTATTATTATTATTATTATTATTATTATTATTATTATTATACTATTATTATTTTTATTTTTATTATTATTTTTAAATTATTTTTATTATTATTATTGTATATAATGATATAATAAAAATTTTCTATACAATGTATATATCAATAATTATTATAATTATATATATGTACTTTTTTAAAAAAATCAAAATAGTTCGATTTCATTAATATCTTTCATTTTACCATGGCATCAGCATTAAGTGTACCATGAATTATTTTCTGACCAGATGCTCAGGCATATATTCTAATTCTCCATCAGCACTTTGTAGAACAAATTGTTTGTTTACCTGGTGGAGGTGATTTTTAATCGGAAAGGCCAAAAGGTTGTTTTATCATATTAATATGTTCTATTTGGTGATCTGATTTCAATCATATGAATGTGTTGAACTATCTGATAACGGATTAATGATTAGTGGATTAGTTGATTAATATCATTATTAAAATATTTTTTCAACCTGGATTATAATCAAGACTTGGAATTTATTGTAATCTTGGTAGGCTTTTCCTGGAGTGAGTGGTGCTAAAAAAAAATTAAAATTTTAATTTACCATATTAATATATTATAGATAGTAGACTATATACCGTTTATAACAGGCTGGTTGTCTAGTGTATGCAATTAATCGAACTTCCAATTTCCTTTTTATAAGACATTTCATTTTTTAAATCATGATCGTTTTGGTCAATATTGCGTAGACTACTTACTACATTCAATTCTAACGATCGGATCATGAGTCATAATCGAAACATCAAAGAAAGAATTGGGAAAAATAAATGTGCGTGTTATTACCATACAAAAAATTCTTTTCCGCTTTTTTGTTACTAAAAATAGCATGATATTAATAGTTTATGATAATTTTGTCTCCTAAAGTGGAAGTTTAATTTGAGTAGTGTAATATGTATATAGGAAGGAAAAAAAAGAAAAATAATTGTTATCGAAAAATTTATAGCTTTAAAATCATTCTTCTAAAAATAAAATCTATTTTTATTGCTACCAGTGCTACCATCAGCAAAAGCAAGCCTGATGTTCGATTGCTTTAAAAATTCAATTTGGGAGGAGGATACGAGCAAAACTGGATTAATTAGAATAGAAACCATAACAATTGATGAAGTTCGTATTCATTAGTGAGGACCTCAACGTCAACGCAAATGATATAGAAATTTTTTGATTTTATTACAAGAAATTCTCACGGGTTAACTATCTGAAAAAAGGTAGAAGTACGGTTGAAGCAAACAGAATTAAGACATCATTTTGTAATAACGTACCATTTGAACATATTTGGCAACTTAAAAAATTTATTAATTCTATCTTGTACTTTTCAACTTTATTGGTTTAGTTCACTGCTTTTATGTTTGTCATTTCATCTTGTCATTACTACTATAGTGTTGCTTTTTGTTCCAGAATCCTAATATGAAAAAAAAATAGGAAAGTCTTAGCAAAGTGACTCGAGAAAATGACCTTCAGTGAACTGACATGTCCGAGCTAAACACTATGATCATGAAGGCCAAGAAGAAGATGTTCTTTATGTTGATGCGGTCATGTCCGGAAGTATTTTCTAAATTTGATTTTTGGGCTGGTGACTCGTAATTTCTCACATTGTGAAGCCTTTCCTTCCCCGATTAGAATGAATTCATCTTTACTATAAGAGATACTCCTAATATTGTGAAACAACAAATAGTATCGAGACGCTGTAAAGAATATATTGCCAAAGATATACTGTTACGTTTAGGGCAAGTGTACATAGTAATGGTTACCAAGAAAGATACTCTCAAAGTTACTGAACTACGTAATTCGGTATTATTATTTGAATAATTCAAAATATTCCTTTTTTTTTTGATTATTTGGGCTAGCATGTTTTTCCATTATCAAATATATTACGATTTAATTTTTATATATCTGACTTAATATGACAAAAAATGGGACAAGGTTCTTGAGAGGGTGTGGCAGATGGAGTTCCATAATCCATATTAATATACATCTGCCTGTCTACCTACCGAACAAACACGTCGGATGTTGGCAGGTATATTTCTATCTTCCAGGTTATTGTTATACTGTGGTTATGTGTATTTATAGTTTAGATTAATAAATAAATGTTAATTTCAGACATCAAAGATATAAAATTACACTTTGTCTGTTCCTTGATATCATATTAAAAAATTATTGGCTTGAGCTACTAGCTCGGAATGCCACTCTCAAGACTTTCTTATATGAAGATGTGATTTTTTGTTTCCTTTGGACAATTGCGTTTTATTCTATTTTTCTATTATAGTGCTTTTTTTTAAATTAATTAACAAAAAAAGCATGTAAACACACACATATATAATGAACTGTTTGCACATATATAATAATAAATATAATATAAATAATACAATAATAAAATGATAAATAAATCTATAAACTAACAATAAATAAATTAATCTATTAATCATAAGAATTAATCAATTATATATCTAAATAAATTTTATCAATGATTAATTTAAATTAAATTAATTACTTCATAAAGAATAAAGAAAAAAATTATTTTTTATTAATTGAGAATAAACAAAATTGTTAATTAATCAATTAAATATTATCCGATTCCAATCACACACACACGCATTATATATATATGTATATGTATATGTATATATATATATATATATATATATATATACATATTTTCATCTATATGGCGCCCAAATCTTCACAGTTTGATCTACAGATCCTGTAGCAACAACAGGAGTACCAGTGTTAAATGCAATACATGTCACAAAGTGTGCATGAGCTTCTAAAGTTTTGGTGCATCGGCCAGTTTTAACATCCCATATCTTTAAAGTCTTATCATCTGATACACTAAGAAGAAATTTTCCACTAGGATGGAATGCAAGTCCACGAACCCAATTATCATGTCCCACCTATACACATACACACGCACAATATAATTATAATTATTAATTAATCAAATTTTTCCAACTTTTGAAAAAAAAAAACAATAAAATTTTAATGTTTTTATGTTTTTACATACAAAAGTTCTCAAGCATTGACCTGTCGAATCCCACAATTTAATTGTCTTATCCCTTGAACCGGTTACAATATATTGACCAGGAATTGGTTGATCTTTATTTCCTTTGGGCTATATATAAATATATATAAATTTTTTAAAATAAAAAATGTGATATTTAAAACAAATTTTTTTTAAAAAAAACTTACATCTTTATCTACACCTATCAATTCTCTTACTAAAGGATATGAAGCAATAGGCGCAAAGATTGCACATTCTACTACATGATCATGTCCCCTAAAATCCATTTTACAATCTCCACTCTGCACTTCCCATAAACGTGAAGTCTGTTTTTTTTTTTTTCAAAAAAATAATCAATCATATTTTCGTGATATTAAAAACATAGTAAATTAAAATATAAATGTGATGATACCTGATCATTTGAACTAGTTATGATCCATTTTCCATCTTCACTTGGTGATACCATTCTCACCCATTCCAAATGACCGGTATATGTTTTTATACAATATCTATATGATATACATATGGCTTGTTAAAAAATTGACAAGTAAAAAATATATATGTATATGTATGTATACACCAACCCCGATGATAATTCCCATAACTTGATTGTTTTATCTCGTGAGGCTGATACAATAATATCACCGGATGGTAAAAATGCAACTGATGAAACACTATGGTCATGTCCATACAAAGTTTTAATACATTTATAATCATTTTGCAAATCCCACACTTTTATTGTTAAATCAGCAGAACAAGATACTAAATAAATTCAAATAAGTTAAAATATATATAATAAATGTATCATGTAGAAATATAAAAATTTAAAACCCCCTTACCCAAATGGTTGCCTTTAGGATCAAATGTTATATCTTGAACTGCTTTAGTGTGACTTTTGAGAGTTCGTTCAAATTCACCAGTTTCGTAATCCCAAATTTTTATAGTAGTATCCTCAGAAGCAGATGCCAATACAGAAAACACAGGATGAAATGTAATACGTGTAATTGGATTCCTATGTCCTGTTAGTGAATATTTTTCTGGTGCTCGTGGTACCCAATCAACTGCATTATTGGTTTTTCTTAAAGGTGCATTGTTTAGTTCTTCAGTCATTTGTGTAATCTTGTTTTCCAAATCCATAATCTAACGATAAATTTAAACATAAATTTTCGTTTATATAAATAAAAAAATTTTTAATTTTCTTTCTTTTTTTCTCTTTATCTTTTTACTATTCTTCTTTTTTAAAAAATACCTTTTTTTGTAACCGAATGACCGAAGTCCATTTTTTTTCCAATAATCCAGCATATTTTTGTTTGGGATCAGAATTGAAATCATTTTGTTGTGCTTCAATTTTCAACAAATTGAATGATTCGGCAAAACCATTTGCATAAAGATAATCAAGGATAGCTTTATGACTTTTTAAAGTTTTTTGAAAAAAAATTTTTAATATGAATATTAAATATATATATATTGTTTAAAGATTGATTATTATTATTATTATTATTATTATTATTATTATTATTATTATTATTATTATTAATTATTATTAATTATTATTATTATTACTACTACTGTTACTACTATTACTATTATACTTGTAATTATTACTAAAATTACTATTATAATTACATTATCATTATTATTATTATGATTATAAAGATTATTGTATTAGAAACCGATATATAAAAAATATTTTTAAATAAGTAAAATTTACAATTAATATACTTACAGCTCGTCTCTTTGACGATGTGACAATAGTGACATTATTCGAGTTTGTTATTACAAGACATTAATTTTTTTTTTATTTTTTTCCTATTTATATCTGAACTTAATTGCCTATTCAAATTGACTTTGGCTGAGGTTTTTTACTTTTTTTAACGGGAAAGTGACATTTTCGTTACTAATTAATTTAATTGGATAAGGTTGGCCCGCAGCCACCGACACTGTACAACCTTTTCGAGTCAAAATCAAAAAAGTGAACAATTATTATTATTATGTCAGAGAGATCAAAATAATGAGCCTATTATACATATTATACATATAGGATTATCCACTCTAAGTAATGATTGTAATCATTGACATATTGTATCACTCATCTAAACAAACAAACTGTTTTTACATCAAAAGATAATGTAAACAATCATCCCGCCTTGTGTTTGAATAATAATTACAAACTTCAGGGCTACCCCCTGGAATTTAATTTTAATTGCAAATCAACTATAATGTGCAACATTTACTGTGGTGTTCGATGGCGGTTGATCATCAAACATATGTTACAAATTATTATGTGCGGTTTTTTTTAGTATCTTTATCATATATTTCAATACATTGTAAATGTTGACAACAAAATTCAACCAACAATATATTTTTTTGAAAATATGAATATAAAAAGAAATTTCTATTAATTTATCAGTTGCAATGTAAATTTTTATGGTAAAATTTAATAATAAATCGAATAACTTTAAACCATGATAACTTTTTTCTTCATAATAAAATTAAACAAAATTTTTTTATAGTTTTATTGCTTAAGTCTTCTATAATAAATCTATAGAGAGTTTTTTCCCCTATCTCATTTGGTTATAAAGTTTTTCTATTAGCAATCTTTTTTCAATTTCTTTAGAACATATAAAAAAAATTTTTTTTTATTTGGCAAGAAAAAAAACTCTCTATAGCTTAAAAGCTTGATATATTTTATATAATTTTCCTTGGTTTCATGTTTGTATCTCTTTAGTTGAAGGCTCTGATAGAATTTTTATTTTATATAGTTTTTATATATACTCTTATTTTTTTAAAAAAAAGTTTGTTATTGATCGGCATTATGTTACATCACTTAATTTTGATTTAATTAGGGCATCTCACACCCCAATAGATCTTGTCATTAATGCTTACTTCAATCACTCCTACACAAACTATTGAATAATTGATAAAACATTTGTTAGCTTCATAGATCTTGTCCTTAACACTTACTTCGAACTCTTGTACCAGCTGGATCTTAATCATTATTATCATTCTCAAAAAAGATGATTCGTTGTTGTCGTTTGCTATTTGTTGCTATAACAACTACTGATTGATGGATATTCATAATAATCATTAATGAAATTTTAATCAATATAAAGTCAGAAATATAAAACAATCACGAATAAAATACCTTTTAGTTTTTGCTGAATCCCATCTACATAAAATTCATGACTATTAAATTTCTATAAAATAGTTTTTTCGCGAAACTCTCTAAACTTATTAACCAATACCCCCATAAAGTAATGACAATATGAAAGCTTAAATTATTCTACACCCTCTCATCTACTATCAAGTCTTTTAAAGTGATATTGAGAAATAATCTGAACTTTGAAGCGAAAAAGTAATACTGTTTTTGAATAGCCATGAATTCATGTAGAGAAAACCTTTCAATACGAAAAGGTATTCATTAGAAAGCCTTAATGGTGTACTTTCATTTTACTCTAACAACAAAGTTCGAGTTTATTATAAAAATAACGAGATATTTTAAAAAACCTTCAAATTTAAATTCACATATCAGATATGGGCTCCAGAATCCAAATGGGCTTATAATTAACTAACATGTATATAAAGAACTCAAATTTGACCTACTGTAAAAATAACTTTCTAACAAGTTAATGAGTTTCGACTAAGGAAAACTAAATAAATAAAATAAATATTTTATTTAAACTTTTATCTTCTTTAAACAAATTTATCCGCTAATACAAAAATTAATACCTTTTCACTTTGATCCACATAAACTAGAAATAATTGTTATCACCAATTAAAATACGCTCTCCCAAACTTAATCAGTGACAATACCCAAGCTCATAAGTTAGGTAAAAAACTATTAAAAGGGTTTAAAATTTTTAAATTAAAAAAAAAAGCCTAGTCAACTGGTATTATTGTTGTTAATAACTATAAAGAAAATTTACTGACAAATATAAAATTATATCAGGTGAAGAGCTAGAGGAGTTTTTCGATTTGGGGTTTATAATCTTTCAGCCAATTTCTGAAGAATCCACTAAATATGTTCCAGAACTCTTTAAATGGTTGGTGGAACATTAGTATTGGCTTTAGAAATCTAGCTACTTATTGAGAAAATGCCAAAAAGAAAAAGATAAAATAGATAATAAATTTGTTCCTATTATTTTCCTTTTAAAGATTTTTGCTTTTTATTAGGTAATAATACATCATCATGATACTTTCTTTTTCCAACATTTATTATTTTTTCTTTCTTCTTGATAAATTTCATAGGTGATTTTCTCTTTTCTTAGATAAGCTTCAAGTGTGTGAGTGTCATTTATTTTGAAATGTAAAGAGCAATTTTTTCACCTTGTTCTTTCTTCAAAATACTTCTAATGGTACTATAATTCTTGGGTTCCATAGTAGATCTGATGTAAATTAGCTTCATATTAACTATTTTTATATAGAGGTAATTCTATATATCACTTAAGATAACAAAATGGAATATTATAAAACTATTAATTATAATCACATTATGAAATGACTAAATTTTGATCCCTGAAATTCTTGGTATTACGAATGTTCACTTTGTCTGGTTTTGTTGCAGCATGCCCCGTATTATAGTTGAATATAAATAATAATATTATTATATTTTTCATAATATTATATCAAAATTATTAATAAAATATTAATGCTAAAATAGAATCGTCAACCACATTACCTTTTAAACATGCATTATTAAAGAAAGCATTACTTTTAAGAATAAATAAAAATAAATTTTCAATAAAAAAATTATATATGGGACATACTGCAACAAAACCAAACAAAGTGAACATTGAAATTACCAAGAATTTCAGGTGATTATAAAATTTGTTCTTTTCTTGGGATTGCCTCTAGACAAAAGTAAAGATGGTTCTGCACCAGTTGCAAAATTCAAAACTAGACAAAGTGAACATTTGTATATACACCAAAGAAGGACCTCAGGCCAAAAGGAAATTTGTTTGCAGTTAAAAATAAGTTTAATTAATTTAGAGGATTTTTTTTTTTTTTTTACTAAAAATAAATTCTGAAACATGATTCTATTCTTGCCTGACAGATCACACAATAATCAACTTTTTGAGCACATTTTTCACAAGCTACTAAATGATGGCAGGGAGAAAAGCAATGCGTCAAATTGTCTTCCAAACAAATTTTGCATCGTAATATTTGATCCTTTAGCTCATCATTTTCTTCGCTAAGTGATTCAGTTCAGGGTTGGCAAATGTGCGATCCATTGATGGTCCATTAGTGTAACACTTTAACCATTATTAATGGCAATGGACCAGTCCAAAATCCATCTGTTCTCAATAGACCAGTCAATTTGCCAACCCTGATTCAGTTATGTCCATTTCTTCACACAATTTTTTTTTTTAGAGATTTAATATGATCTTTTAAGTTAATTATTTCTTGCCCAAGGTTCTCTATTACTCGATTTAAATCTTCGGGTCTCTTATCATCAGCAAAAAAATTTCTAAATTCATCAAAATATTGTTCTACTGCGGGAGAACTTCTCAATAACTTCATTATCAGATTAATTTTTGCTGGGGTCGTCAATTCAAGATCATTCTCTTCTTTTAGATAAATAAAAGTTTTTCATGTGTCTTTTCCCATTTTTTACGCTTTTCTTTATCAAATATAGATAAAAAACATCATACCTTTATTTGAAATCATTGTCTATTTTGATTCTTTTATTGCCTTCCTTCCTAGGAATAACAGTCGCATTAATAATTAGATGTGAACCACTCTTTTAATAATTAACTAGAGTAACGACAAGTGGTGGCCTGACGATCTTATATGTATCTATTACTATGTAAAAAATTCCCTGGTTGATAAATAATTTTTCAATAAATTATCACATGATGGATTTTAGTTATATCCCACTTTAGTTATACAAGTCACTCCAATTATAATGACATTCGTTATAATGACAATCTTGTTATAATAATAATAATAATGACATTTTTTTAAAAACCAAATTTATAAATACAAATTTACGCCTGTTATAATGACACTCACTATTTATCCCGTTATACTAGTATAATGACATAATTTGTCAAAAATAATTTTTTTAATTATAGAATTTATAACAAGAGAACCGATCAAAAACATTTGATATAACAATAAAACGTTGATTAGTATGACTAATTGGTTAATTAGACAATGAATTATTAAAAATTAAAATTAAATTTTGTTTTAAAAATGACTTCAACCTCTGCTGCACCTTTATCCAAAAAAAGATGTTCTTTAAGTGCTTTGCAAAAAAAAAGAACCATGTAAGCATGCTAAAAATGATCCTAGCTTAACTCAAGATAAATTAGCCAAAGATTTTGAAATTGGTCGAAGCACAGTTTCAGTAATTTTACCAGAATCAAACAAATGGCTTCCTGTTGATGAAACTGTTTCAACTTCTCAATTTAAAAAGAATCAGCAAGCAAATTGGCCACAATTAGAAGAAACTTTAGCAATTTGGTTTGATGAAGCTATAAAAAAACATAACCTTACAATTTCAGCAGATATTCTTAAAACAAAAGCTCAAGACCTAGTTGAACTTATGAAAATAAATGATTTTAAAGGTAGTGATGGATGGCTCTCTTGTTTTAAAAATCGACATCATATTTATTCAGTAACTAGACAAGGTGAATCAGCACCTGCTCCAATTGAACTATTACCACAATATTGTGAAGAGCTTCAAGTAATTCTGAAAGATTATGATCCTAATAACATTTATAATTGTGACGAAACTGCACTATTCTGGTAACTTGAAC